TTTTTTGTTGATTTGTTTAATGTTGTGTCTGTGTGTGTGTGTGACGAAGAAATTATCACAAGAATCAATAACAAACAAAGATTTTTTGGTCTTTTAAAAAACACAATCAAATTCTGGAAAATTGAATTGAGCTTTGGTCGAAACAATGAAATTCTTCTTCAATGATTGTGCTGCAACTGAATAGAATGAATTGGGCGTTTTGATTTAAATTTTTTTTCTTCATAAGTTTTTTTTCACTCCAGAAATTCATCATGTTTGGCATATTCATTTGATTATCGGTGATCATTAAGTGACCATAAAATCATTGCTTTATGCAAAATAAAAATGAAAAAAAATGAAAATTTTTGAATTACGAATCAGGAAATAGGCTGTCTATTTTTTCTGCCTGCAACTGAGACCTGTCATTATCATAAACGACTGTGTTTTCTATGCTAGCCGAATCGGATATTGGAAAAAAATGACCAAACTGGTGAAATTTGAAAAAAAAATCTACAAATCAATTTGACAGATGAAATATCCCTTTTTATATTTCTCTCTTTCTCTCTATTGAAAAAAAACACCCTGATAATAATAGTAATCATCATCCAGGTTACTAAGCAGCAATGATGATGATGACCACTATTGATCGATCAATAACAACTGAAAAGAAATTCTGGTTTTCAATGCGAAAAAATTATTCTGACTTACCCACTAATCACCAAGTTGAAAATGATAAAATTCTAAAAACATAAATTCCATCACATCACATCACATATCTCACTGATGATTCTTGATTATTCTGATGATGAGATTTTATGGAAAACAAAACAAAACAACAATGAATTTGCGTTAAAAACGCTATAAAATTCAATTTATTATCGTTTTTCTGTCGAAAACAATTTGCACATTTAAAATGTTTTCATTATTCATCTTTAGATGATGTATCTCTGGGGTTATATATAGCGTTTTTCGTTGGTTATAAAAATTTTACAATCAAAAAAACGATAAACATCATTCGACATTTATCTCAGGGTGACAAACAAAACAAAACAAAAACGAAAATGATTTTATTTCAACTGAAAATAAAAACTGCTTTTTCTGTTTGTTTGTTTCATTTTCAAACAAATCCATTTTAATGGATGAAATTTTTTGTTTTTTTTGGTTTGCATCCAAACCATCACCAATGAAATTGCTGTACCATTAGTTCACACGCGAACACAACCAAACAAACCAACGAATAGGCTCAAACATTATTTCAGAGCAGAATCTATGAATCCATTCCGAGAATCTAGAATTTGAAAAGCAGCAGCATTACAATAGATGATCAGAATCATGAATGATTGTTATTTGATAATGATGGTGATATAGTTCACCAAAAAAAAAATTTGATATAGCCACCAATAACAACTGGCAGCAGCAACATAAACAGCATCAAGAATTTAACCGGATTCACCAAAAAAAACCGATTCTGGCAAAAAAAGGAATGGATTGAATGAATAGAGAGAAAAACTGATAAACTAAAGTTCCGAATATTTTTTGGCGACCCCGAATGGAAAAATGATTATTTCGCATCTTGCGATCCATTTTTTTTTTGTTGGTATTGATTGCAACCAATCAACCATGGATGTGAAAGAGAAAAAAAAGATTGATTTCGATCATTTTTGTATCATTTTTTTTTTGTTCAAACGGACAAACAAAATTCTGTGAGAAAAGAATATTGAATACAGAATTCATAAGAAAAGAATATCCCCAATATTTGTTATTACGAAATGAAGAGAGAAAAAAGGAAAATTTGAAATTGATTCACCAAAATGGATCAATTTCATTGATCAAGTTTTTGTCAAGTTTCTTTTTTTTTCGTTTTTGAAGAGGATGCTAAAAAACAACAAATCCAAAATGATGGAACTTGACTCTCTTCTTCTTTTCCCTCTTCTTCCATTTTCTCTTTTCTTTACAATGATGATGATGATGTTTTTTCAAACATGAATCGAATATGCGTTAACGGAATGCACATAAAAACTGAACATATATACTTTGGCCTTTTGCAAAAACGAAAAAAAAATATTCTATACTGAGAATGATGCTGCTTTGTTGTTTTAATATTTTTTTCTTCTTCTTGTTTTGGCATTATCAAAGCAATGAAAAAGTAATAAGTTCTTGTAGAATCTCTCTTTTCATTCATTTTTTCTATATCGTAAACGAACCAGGGCACGAAAAAAAAAATCTAGGCCATCATCACGAATCGTATATACAGATTTGCTATATATACCAAAAGAATCGACAAAAACGAAAATAATATTATCATCGTGATTGCACACAAACGAACAAACGAACGACCAGGCCAAAAAAATAATAATAATAATATGGATCACCATCGAATCTATTTTCTGTTTTCGGAAATCTATGTGTGAAGAGAGAAAAAAATCCAAGGATTCTGTTTGAATTCTGTTTGGATTCTCTCTCTCTCCATGTATGTATGTATTTATGGCATGTATAACACACACACACAAGGACAATCTTCATTCAGGGAAAACATTTTTCCAAAAGAATACCTTTTTTGCATAATATTCTCTATATGTGCTTCAGAAGCATGCAAAATCAAAATCAAAATCTTTTTTTTTGCTGCAAATATAATTCATTAAAATTTAATCCTTTACCCCCAATGTAATGTACAAAAATAAAATAAAATAGTTACATTTTGTATACATCGTACATTCTCATCAAAATCATTCAAAATCATAAAGTGGTATTGAATTAATCAAGAAACCAAATGAATGAATTTCTCGTTTTTTTCCAGAAAAAAATGTCTAGATTTTCCAAAAAACTTTCTGTTGCTGTTCATTTTCGTAATCGAATCAAATTCGATGATCAAACTTTGATTACCGAAATGCCAAATTTTTTTTTTTGTTCCCAAAAAATATCAGTCAGTCAATGACACACACACACACATAGGCCGATTGATATATAGCCTATGCGTTAAAAGTGGACAAACAGAAAAATCAAACTTCATTAGTGTTGAGTAAATATTTACCACCATCCACATCATCATTTACTTTTTTTTAGTTTATTTTTTGTTTGATAAATTTTCAAATTTTCAATTTTAAAGAAAAATTTCATGTTTTTTTTGTGATCTGATTTTTTTTCTTTTGTAAAAATTTTTTTCCTGAATTGTCTCAGGTATTTCAAATCATTCAATCAGGAAATAATATTGTGCGTATGCGTCATTTGATTGATTTGATTTGATTTGATTGAATGACAATATATTCGGATAACGTATAAATCCGGACAACCCGGGAATTGAAAAAACAAACCGAAAAAAAAAACAGAAAAAATAATGATTTTTACTAATGAAAATTGACACGCATTCTGAGAAGGAGAGAGAGAAAGACGCTATTAAAGGTGTTACACCATCATTATCATTATCATTCGAATTTCGGGAAATTCTGGTATTTGAGGCCATCAAATACAGAATTTGGTTCGGTATTTCTCCAAAGATCCGGATTATTTTTCTCCTCAATGTTTGTATTTGGACAAATTTTCGTTTTATTTTTGTTCGAATCGAAATAATCAAATACAAACGATTCTTTGTGTTTGAGAAACCACGATTAGTCATCGTTTTTTCTCTCTCGTTCATCGACAAGAAAAATAAACATTGATTTTGATGAAAGCAGAAAAGAAAAAAACAAAAAACAAAAATTGTAACAACATGAAATTCATTAGACAAATATAATAATGATGATGTTTGATGTTTCAATGGAAAAAAAAGTGAAAGTGTAATACTAATAATTAGATCCGAAAGTAATATAATGATATCTAAGTGAAGAAGAATCTTTGTTTGGTCAAACAACAGATAATGATGATGATGATGAACCAGGCCATTATTACAAAAAATGTCAAAAGCATTCATAAATGCGGGGATGTTTCCGTATTCTTTTTTTCCCTATGTTAACCCAGTGTGGTAATTATTGCGCAATCGAAAAAAATGAAATGCAAAACTAAACGAATCAAATCTGTTAAATAAATCAATCATTTTAATAATCAAAATATTTTTTGAAATGATATGATAAACAATATACGAGAAATGAAATGACAAAATAGTTAATAATAATGATGATTATGAACAAATATTGGTTTTTGTTTTGTACAAATTGGTTTTTTTTTGTTTTTCAACGTTTTCATTCAAAGATTTTGTTGCAAAAAATGAATTAATGTTGCTTCAAAATGTTCAGCACTGTTGATTTTTTTCAAACTATGTCGTTCGTATGGATAAATCTGTTTGTAAAAAAAAAAGAAATTTCAAAACATTGATCAAAGATAATTGAAAAGTTACTTACACTTAATTGATATGGTTTACCGGCCATAACTAAACCTTGAATCAATTGTGCTGTATGACAAAAATGAACATTTTCATCCATTAGACCATGAATTATTAGTAAACGATTATATCTGATAAAACCAAAAAAAAAAGATAAGCACAATTAATTAGTAAATGAGAATAGTCATTATTATTATTAATAATTTACTCGTTTGGAAAGTATTTAATATAGCTAAGTATACTACTTCGTCGATAATTTTCTGCATTGTCTGTTGGTAATCCCATATATCTTTCAGTATAACCAGTATCATATAATAACCAATTGGTAACCGGTGCTCCGGCTATTGCACATTTAAATATATCTGGTCGTTTAACTAAAGCCATTAATGAAAGATAACCACCAAATGACCAACCATGAATAGCAACACGATTCATATCAATAAATCCAGTATTATCAGCTAACCATTGTAATGCTTCTACTTGATCATCAATTTCAACTTGTCCTAAACGTTTATAGATATGTTTTTCAAAATCAACACCACGATGTTTTGATCCACGTGAATCAAAACCAACAACAATATAACCTTCGGAAGCGATTAAATGTCTTCGATGATATCTTAAATCTTTAAAAGATTTTGTAACTGATTGCACTTCTGGACCACCATATATTTCCAATAGCACTGGATATTTAAAACCTGGTTCCATAAATTCTGGTTTGAAAAGAAATCCATAAATTAATTCACCACTTTGTAATTTACATTCAAATAAATGTGGTGTCGGACCCAAAATTTGTACTTTTTCATAATATTCCATTGAATCTTCTATTCTGATTTCATCGGGAAGATTTAAAAACATATATTGTGGTTCTATAGTAATATTTGTAGGATTATCCGCAGGTGATATTAATTTATGTAGATAAGCAAATGGTGGAATCGATACGTTTGATTGAAAATCTATACAGAATCTAAATTCCGGATCAAATACAATTCTAGTATGAGTAAAATCTTCTTTTGAAAGACGTTTAGGTGCAATCCTGGATGATTGTTTGGATGATATTACATAAAGATGATTTTCCAATGGACTATCACGTGTACCAAGAAAAAATATTGAATCATTTTGTTCATCAATCCAATACATTGATTCGGATACTTCCCAATTACCATTAGTTAATTGACGATTTTCCAATAATTTTGCTTTCATTTCATGATTTATTTGTTCTATTGGTTTTTCATCTTTATTCGCCATTGAATCATCATCATTATTATTCAATGAAATTTTCGATGGAAATTCAGCAATTTCAACCGAAATTTTATACAAATGACGATAACCACTCAATTCGGATGACCATAAAAATTCAATTTTACTTCCTTCCAATATAACATCTTGATTATTATCATTATTACAATCATCATTATCAATATTTAAAGATTTATTTTTGAAAAAATATAAAATTTCATGACAATTATACCAATGATCATGATGTGATTCAGTATAAATAATTTGTGATGGAAATTTATCCGTTGTTGAATATAAAACAATAGCTAAATGATTTTGTTGACGATTTAAAAGCTGTATCCATATTACATCATCATTCAACCAATCACATCGTATTAGATATTCATATTCAGGATATATTGATTCTAATCGTTCATGTAAATCTTCAATTTTTAATAATCGTAACTGTCGATCTATTAATCGACCACCATCACCACCATTTGGATTTATGAAAGCAAAATGAACAAGTTTTAATGTAGATTTTGCATTAGTCGATCCTAGGTCGATAAAAAAATGAAAATATCAATCAATGTAAGAATCAAAAACAGCAACCAAACTTGCCAGGTTTTGGAAAACGATGTATTTCATCCATATTACCCCAGCCTGAAATTGAAATACGTTCAACAACTGATTCATCAACAAATTCACAAAGAATTGTATAAACATTTTGATAGTTTCGATCTAAATTCAAAGAAAAAAACGAAAAGAATTAGTCGATTAATAAATCGCTAGAATAATCAAATTACAAGATGGTCTCCACCAGAATCCAGTATAACGAGAAAATTCTTCTTGCATTACAAACGAAGGTCTACCGGCCATAATTGCCGTTTTTGTATAGTAGGTATTGGTCAAACGAATTTCCGACCCGGAAATCAAATCACAAACCCAAAGATCATTATCAGCAGTATAAGCAACTAAATCCGGTTGATGTGGACATATTGTTGCATTCAATTTAATAAAATCATTATTAATCAATTTCCGTGGTATATATGGTGGACAAAAATGATTTTTCTTCATTGAAGACGTCTTATCATCATCATTATCACCATTGTTTTCAACATTCATTTCATGAATCGAATCTTTTAAATGACTAGTTTCTTCGGTTATTGCAATATCATCAAACCAATAGATTGCATTTTTCATTGTAAAAACAAATCTTGCTAATTTTGGATGAAAATCATAGGAAAATATTCCATTCAAAATTATTCGTTTACGTTGTAAAATTAAATCTTCTTCTGGTGAATTTGTTGATGATGATGATTGCTGTTGTTGTGATGATGATTCATCATCATCATTATTTGTTTGTTGTTGATGAGAATATGATTCAAGATTAATTAATTCATCAAGATTAATAATCAATGATTTCCATTCGATTGTATCTAGATTTGAAATTGATGGTGTAGGTGATGTAATAGATTTTCTTAACAATGATGTATTCATATATGATTCATCTGAATTTGATGATGATAATGATTGTGTTGATAATGTCATCGAAGTAGGTGAACCAGAACTGTAATTAAATAAATGAGATCTGTTCATTTATTAAAAACACATTTCTAACATACCTTTCATTATTATCAAGATCACAATCAGCAATATCGATATTTGTTTCAGAATTTATATCATTATCAATTTTTTGTTGATAACATTGTTGTTGAAATGTTGTTGTTGATGATGATGATGATGATAATAAATTTACTGGTTTTAATGATGGATTTTCTTGTTCTTCTTCGTGTTGTTGTTCAATATCTATTGGAAAATCACATTGATTAGATGATGATTGTTGATGATTACCAATAAAATCAAATAAATCTTCATTGTTTTGTTGTTGTTGTTGTTGTTGAGTTATTATGTTTGAATTTTTGAGCAAATCAACATCACAGTAATAAAGTGTTGTTTCCAATGAATTAATCGATGCCAAAAAATATATACGAAGTTTTTCATGTTTTAAATCATATGAAAAATTAAAATCAAATGGTAATGATGGACAAATTGATGTATATTTTTTTCTTGCTTCACGTACTGATTGACAAATTTGTTCCCAAGATTTTATATTTTTTCCTAGATAAAAAGCTAATCCATAAATGAATGAATGAATCATCAACAGAAAAAAATAAATTGATCAATTATAAACATTTACAGACAAACATTATGTGTAAATACATACGCATAAAATCACTGATCGATGGTAGATTAATGTTTGGCATCGAAATATTTGGCATTGAAAGATTGGGCATCGAAGGCATTGATGGCATCGAAGGCATTGATGGCATTGTTATTGTTGGCATTGAAGGTAGATTAGGCATTGTTATATTTGGCATCGATGGCATCGGTACCGATGTAAAATAATCCGGTAATGAAGGCATATTTAATGCTGACATTTGTAATGCATTTTTCCATGATTGACTAAGATAATTATTACCAGTAGATAATGATTGTAAATTGAATGAATTTAATGCAAAATTTCGTTCTTGTTCTGGAATTTCTAATGCTGATGTTGCAATTTCTGATGATGTTGAAGAATTTTCATTAATTTTTATTGGTATTGTACTGGTAGAAGGAACATTAAATTTTGATAAAATATGATTCGTAAAACTTGTTGTTGTTGTTGTTGATGATGGTGGTAATGGTAATGGTAATGAATTAATCGATGTTGAAGAAATCATAGTCGGTGAATATTGTCGTTGTTGTTGTTGAATAGATTTCGATTTTCTGGCCTGATGATGAATAATGGCCAATGGATTATCATTATCATTACCATCCTTATTATTATTATTTGAATTTGATCTTTTATCCATATTTTTATAATGATATATTATCGTTTTATATTCTGTCGTTTGCTTTATTATTATTATTTACAAAACAAAAGAAATGTTGCATAAAAAACAACAACAACCAAATGAAACATATGGACTAGAAGAACATTATTACGTAATTACGAAAATTTCATAATTCTAATCTATAGCTCACATGCTAAATTACTACGATAAGATAAGATATAACTACTACGTGTCCTCTCGAATTTTTTGATGATAAATTAGCCTGATACGATAGTCAAAGTCAATGATGATAATGATGATGATGATAAAGAGACACAAGAATCTTTTTCTTTTCTTTTTTTATCCTCCAAATTTGAGATGGAAGAGAAAAACGTAGTAAGATTTTTGTTTGTTTGTTTGATAAAAAACAAAAACAAAATTTTTTTTTTGTTTGTTTGTTGTTGTTTTGACATGTGATTTTGATCCATTCATAGAGTGGATTATATAATTTTCACATTCGAAAAAACTTACCATCATCCTGATTGAATGGTTATTCAATGATTTCGGTTTCATTATTTTCCGGTAATTGTATTATGATTGATCTTTGTCGTCGTTGTTGTTGTTGATGACGATTATGCCGTTGATATTGTTGTGGATGATTTGTTGATGCAAAAGTTGTAGATTTTTTTAAATTTTTTTTCAATGGTAATCCTGATGATGATCCCGATGATGATAATTGTTGTTGTTGTTGTTGTTGTTCATTGGCTATATTTTCCATTTCAATTTTTGTATTGAAAATTGGTGGATTAGTTTTTGATTGATTTTTTGTTTGTTTGATCGCCGATGACGACGATGTTGTTGTTGTTGACGATCTTGGCTGATTTATCGTAGGAATTTGTTGCGGTTGCGGTTGTTCTTCATCTTTAAATTCCATTCGTTTAGCATAAACAAAAATCAATACGAATGGTACGGAAATAATACCAATCAATGAAACAAATACAATCCAACCAAATTGCCGGTAAATAACAACCAAAAATATTGATAAAAATACCAATGATATTGATGTTAATAATAATCGGGCACGATGTTCGGCCAGATAGCAACATAATTGTTGTAATTTGTTGTTGTTGCTACGATTATTATCACCACCACCACCAATATTATCAAGCATTCGATTATTATCGTTTTTCGATGAAAATGAACGTCGTGATGTATTATTATTTACAACACGATAATTTGATAATTTTTGTTCATTCATTGGCCAATTTCTTGGACAAACAATAGTATTGTATGATGATGATGAATAACCGTCATCACAATAACCACCATGATCATTATGATGATGATTTGATTTGAATGATTCTACTGTTTGCGGTAAATTTCTCATTATGTTTTTTTTTGGTTTTTTTGTTGTTGTTGTTAGTTACAAAACTGGTGGTGGTGGTAGTCAAAATGTTGTTCAACAACAACAACAACAAAGATTACACCAAATATGATAATATCATTGTAATTAATTAATTTTCCACCGTAAAACGAAACATTTATGATTTTGGCACGACAGATTCATTTACAACATCCTAAAAACAACAACAACAACCCACTTCTGTAAAAATAGTTTCCACCATTGAATTCTGTACATTCGAATATATTGTCGTGCAATGATTCGAATTCCGTAACAACAACAACAACAACAAATGAAAAAAATTAGCCATTAAAAACAAAACAAAACAAAACAACAAAGATAATGTACTCATTAAATAAATGACTTGATTATCGAAACAGAAATGAAATGAAACATACACTACCACCACCAAATGATAACGAAAAATTCTTGTTAATCTTCTTGATTTTTTTCAGCCAAAAAAAAAACACCGAACAAGCAAAAACAATCGAATCTGGTATGTGTTTTGTTGTTGTTTTTTATTTATGATTTCATTTTTAATTTTGATCCAGAAACTATTCAAGGAACATGGAACCAAAACAAAAACAAACAAACCGAATATGAAAGAGAGAGTGAATAAAGACCTCGCCTTAATAATAACCGAAAACGAAAACAACAAATCGAAAATGAAACATGTTTGTTTCATGAATGATGATGATGATGATGATGGTGACAATAATATAAAAAGAAGAAGAATTTATGAAATTTTTTTTTTGGATGAAAGATCCATTTAACCGAACGACAACAAGAATCTTTCCCAAAAACACACCATTGAAATTAATACAAACAATCAACCAAATATAAAAAAGGGGTACCGCCTATAAACCGACGACGACCGAACGACTAATAATATAATCTGACATTCGATCAATTAGAAATTGACAGGTACGTTTTTGTTGTTGTTGTTATTGTAACCGAGATGATTATGATGGTGATTCTTTTCCAGGCCATAAATTCTATTTTTGGTGCAAATATATTGTTTCATCGTTGTCACACACACACACACATAGATATTAAATCAACCATATCTGTATAGATAACGAATAATGAATAACAACGAAATTGGAAAAAAACGAATAGAATTAAATCAAAATATGGCAATTTTGAAAAAAAATCTCACGGCAAATCCACATTCTCATTCTCTAAATGACTCACACACATGATATAAAATGCAGACAATTTGACATGGAATTCTGTTGAATAGATTTTATTCTTTTCTCTTTTTTTTTCATTTATTTATTTATAATCATATTCAACCAATCTGAATTCTCTCTCTTTCATCAAAATTTATTCCTATTTCATTGAGAATATGAAACCAAAACCACAACAACAACAAAAGGCGACAAGATAGATTGGCTGTCCTTGGAATTTCTGGTTCTATTGTAATGGATTACAATCAAAATGAAATAAAAATTTATGACAAGCCATAATACCTTATCTATCTTCGTTTTTTGACTGTTAATCATCATCATTATCAATGGTCAGTGGTCATTATTCGGTGTTTTTAGAGATAAAAAAAAAACAACAAAACACAAAAAAACGAAAAAACTTATCGATAAAACATTCGAAATTCGAAATTATCATTAGTTTAGGTCCAGTGAATCCAGATGGCAGAATATTCGATTGATGGAATCCAGTTTTGTTTTGGTTTTTGTTCGCTTAATCCATGGCAAATGGATACCACCAATCTTGACTGACCGGTTCTTGTGGATGATATAAGCATCATGACCTTTTTTTAAAGATTGAAATATGATTTCGTGTTGTTGTTGTTGTTGCTCAATTAGTTGACAAGTGATGGTCGTTTTGTAAAGTTTTTGTTTTTTGCTCCAAATTCAAAAAAAACCTTTTTTTTTGATAATAATGACCACCAATATTCAAAAACAACATTCGAATATAAAACCGGTGATGAAAAATAATGAAAAATGTCCCAATGTTAATCAACCATTATCAACCAATAAATACAATTCAGAATGGTGGCTTTGTTTTTCGTTTATCACTGTGTTGGCATTTGCAACAAGATTCTATAAAATTGCCGAACCTAATCATGTTTGGTATGATTTTTTCGATTGAATTGAATTCTTTTGTTAACGGTTTTTTTTTGTTTTCAGCTGGGATGAAACACATTTTGGTAAAATGGCAAGTTGGTACATAAATCATACATTCTTTTTCGATGTTCATCCACCATTGGGAAAGGTAAGAAAGATTGTTTTAAAAAAAACTTAATTAACATTTGATTTAGATGCTCATTGCATATGCAGGTCATTTAACCGGATATAATGGAACATTTCCATTTAATAAACCGGGTGATAGTTATGGTGATTATCCAATACTTGGAATGAGAATTTTTTGTGCAACATTAGGTACAATGATTGTTCCTTGTTCATTTGTAATTGTTTGGAATTTATCACAATCACTTGCAGCATCAATAATGGCATCAACTTTATTATTATTTGGTATGTAAACAGAGGGTTTTTTTCGAAAATTTTCTAAAACTTTCATTATCATCATTAGATATTGGAATGATTATCTTATCTCAATATATTCTATTGGATCCGGTTTTAATGTGTTTTATTACCTGTTCAACAATGGGTATGACAATGTTTTATTCATTGGCTGATCGTCCATTTCAAACACAATGGTGGTTTTGGCTTAGTTGGTCAGGATTTTTTCTAGCTTGTGCTATGAGGTAATAATAAGCAACTAACTGATTTGGAAAAGAATTTTTTTTTAATGAAATAACTTTCCTGTAAAAATAGTGTAAAATTTGTTGGATTGTTTGTCGTATTATTGGTCGGCATATTTACCATCAATGATTTATGGAATATTTATGGTGATTTAAACAATTCAATCATTTTGGTTGTAAAACATTTTCTTGCACGAGTATTATGTTTGATTATACTACCAATTATTGTTTATATGGTATTTTTTTGGTGTCATTTAACCGTACTGAATCAAAGTGGTAGTGGTGATGGTTTTTATAGTTCAGCATTTCAATCAACATTGAAAGGAAATTCATTATATAATGCATCGATGCCACAATTTGTTGCTTATGGTGCTACAGTAACGATTAAAAATCATCGAACAGGTGGTGCATATCTTCATTCACATTGGCATCTTTATCCCGAAGGTATTGGTGCTCGTCAACAACAAGTAACTACTTATTCACATAAAGATGATAATAATAAATGGCGTATTAAAAAATATAATGAAGAAAGTACGGAAAATTCTGAACCTATTGAATACGTAAAAAATGGTGATCTAATTCGTTTGGAACATTTAGTAACCGAACGAAATCTTCATAGTCATAATGAAATGGCACCGATTACGAAAAAACATTTTCAGGTTACTTGTTATGGTGAAAAAGGAATCGGTGATGCTAATGATGTTTTTCGTATTGAATTTGAAACGGGTAATAATGGACAATCATTAGAAGCGGTAAAAACAAGATTCAAATTGGTTCATTATTTGATGAATTGTGCTATTTATTCGCATAATAAACAGCTACCAAAATGGGCATTCGAACAACTTGAAGTAACATGTACGCCTAATGTTTTCGATACTAAGAATACATTATGGAATGTTGAAGATAATTATTTTCCACGTCTTCCAAACGTTAGTGTTAATGTTTATGCGCCAAAATTTTTTGATAAATTTTTAGAATCTCATGCTGTAATGTTACAAGGAAATTCTGGTTTAAAACCTAAAGAAGGTGAAGTAACATCTCGTCCATGGCAATGGCCTATTAATTATCGGGTATGCGCGGGATTGATTGATTGGATTTTTTTTTCAATGACTGATTTTATCGTTCATTTAGGGACAATTTTTTTCCGGTAATGATTATAAAATATATTTACTTGGTAATCCAATCATCTGGTGGTTAAATCTATTGATGTTATTCTTCTATCCATTTATCGTTTTAATAATCATTATTCGACGTAAACGAAACTGTGATGAAATTCCATTGATCGAAAAAGAAAACCAAAGATTTTTGTCCGCATCCATTTGGCTATTCATCGGTTGGTGTCTACATTATTTTCCATTCTATGCAATGGGTCGTGTTTTATATTTTCATCATTATTTTCCTGCTGCAATATTCAGTTCAATGTTAACGGCTGTAATTCTTGATTATCTATTCAATGCATTACCTATATTGATGGTATATATTATTTATGATCAAAAATCAACAGACTATCGTTATCAAAATGCTCGACTAGTATTGCATTTTATTTACGGAACATTCATATCGGCAATTGCATATAGTTTTTATCTATTTTCACCATTAGCATATGGCATAATACGATTACTTACATCAGTGACCAACAGTCATGTTGGTAATAGTTCTACTGGTTCTTCTTCGATAATCATTGCAGCAGGTGTAGCAATCGGTTCACAAAGTTCATTATCCATTGATGGTGATTTAAATCCAGATAAAATTGATTATAGCAGTGAACAACAAATGAAAAGTCTTCGTTGGATGGAATCATGGGAATTTTAAACCAAATATTATCAAATCAAAATCAAAATCAATGAAAATAATATATCATTTTTATTTATTTAAATATATCAATTTTTATTTGTGACAAATTATGAAATGAATGTTTGTTTTTTGTTTGTTGTTGATGAAAGATGATTTAAAATGACTAATGTTTTTTTTGCAGATTTTTTTTGACCAGTGGTGGTATATATGATGAGTAGACAGTCATATGGTAGTGATGATGGTGGTGAAATGTGTGCATGAGAGAAGATAGGAAATTTACAAGGGCAGGATTCTTTTACACAAAAATTGAGAGACAGAATCACTAAAAAGATTAACAACAACAGGCAAAGTAATGATAATGATAATGATGATAATTTCAACAAAATCAATTAATTATAATAAGGCGCTAAAATATTGATTGATTGATTGTTGTGTGTTAATTAATTAATATCTGGGTGGATGTGAAAATTTTTTTTTCAGTTTTAAAATATTATCACCATGTACAATTGACATAAGGCAAAATATGCAATACATTTTCTTCCGTTATCGGACAATTTTCATTAATATTATTACCACCAGTCATTACATAGGATGATGTCATTTCACTAAAATCATGCCAAACACCATCTTTATCATAATTTCCATTAATACCTTCCCATTGTTCATTTTCTAAACGATCAATCAATGTTGTCAATCGTTTTTGTTGGTCATTATCATTATCATCATTATTATCATTCGAATTTGATTGCCGTGTTTGTTTTCGTCGCCTTTTCCGTATGATCAATTTGACCAGTTTTTTTGTTGATTCACCATCTTCATTATTATTGATTAAATTAATACTATTTTCTTGCTGGTCAAATGATGATAATGGTGGTGATGATTGTTTACCATCATTACCATCACCACCACCATCATCATGATCATCGTTCAAAGATCGCTCTTCATCAACGATAATATCGTTATTATCACATTTAGAAATATCACATTTTGAATTGGTTGTTATTTGATATTGAAAGCTCGTTTCGTTATCATTATTATCTAAAGATGATGAAATATGTTTACTATTTTCATCAATTTCATATTCTTCGATAAATTCTGATTCATTTGTTGGTTGCTGCTGTTGTTGTTGTTGTTGTTGTTGCTCATTTTCATCGGCAATGATATTGTTGTTTTTGTCATCATCATCATCATTATCAAAACAAAATTTTTGCATCAATTCAAAATCATCAGGATTAACTTTCGGTAATTTTGAATAAATATCCTGAATTTCTTGATCAATTTTTTGTGCATGATTAAATAGTCGATCAAATTGTCGACATTTTGATGATGATAATGTGGTATTCGAATTATGTGATGATTTTTTCGATTTAGATCGATTATTACCATCGACTTCTTCGTCATCGTCATCATCATCTTCATTCGAATCTTCATAATATTCATCATCATCATCATCTTCTTCTTCTTCATCACCCGCATATGAATCACAGAATTTGGATGAATCCGGTGAGATTGAATTCTCACGGATATTATCAACAACATCATCATTATCGATATGACGTAAACGACGAACTTGTGCCAATTTTTTATTCAAAATAACATTATCAAAACCATCTAATGAATTATCTTCCGAATGAAAACCATTACGTTTTTTATGATAACCATTTAGATGATGATGATTATGATGATTAGTTTTTCTAAAATCTAAACTAGAATCTTTGGTCAATGGTGGTGGTTGTTGTTGTGATATACACGGTGAAGATGATGCCGAAAATGATGTGGTTTTCAAATCATTATGTTTATTCAGCAGGATTTTTGGCGATAAATTTACATTCAATTTTTCAATCAATTCTTGTGTTGATTGTGGTCGACGGCCACCATAACTCATAACATAATTAATATTTTCACGTAATGAATCATTTTCACTTTCTTCCAATTTTCGTTTACGATATGATCGTTTTGAACTGGAACCATCATCCCATTTATTATTCGAACAATCATTACTTAGATTTGATAATTGTGATGAATTACTATCACCATCATGAATATCTAAATTTTTATGATTATTATTCGCAGTTCCGAATGAATCTAAAGAATCATTTGGACTACAATCAAGACTTGCACTACCACCAGCAGCAGCAGCAAGAACATTGGGTGTTGGTGGTGTAGTTCGACGACGATATTCATTATTAGGCGATACTGTTGTTTCTTTTGTAAAAATATTTTTAAAATTCTGTAAATTTGGACTACAAACACCATTCGTAAATGGTGGTGGTGTTAAAATTGTTCGTTTAATTTGCAGCTGTTGTTGTTGATTATTCTTCAACGATGGACTTTTATTTCGGCCATTGATCGTCATCGATTCCGTAGCATTTTTTGGACTAGCAATTTGTGAAACATTTAATAATCTATTATGATTATTATTGGGTGAAACTATTGGCGATAATGATGACCGTTGTCCATAAGGTTTTGATTCTATTGGAAACAAAACAAAAACATTAATCTTTTATCAATGAAAAATCAGAAAAAGACATTCATACTTTCATTCGATGAATTAAATGATGATACATTATGTTGAGTTTTAACCCGTAATAAAGCTGGATGTTGACTACTACCAGGCGGTGGGGTTAATTTTGAATCATAATATGATTTATTTATAGAACCACGTGGACTAATTATGGAATTATTCAAATTAAATGGACTGGTCAATGTTGAAATATTATTTGATGATGCGGATGTGGATGTGGATGATGAATGATTATTACCACCACCGCCAACAGCTAAATCACGCCATGTTTTTATTAATTTTTTAGCTCTTTTAGCCAATTCTTTATCGGTTGTTTTTCTACGTAAATCATTGATATATTTACCCAATCTAGTTTTCTGTATTCAATTTGAATGTCATTATTTTTTTGAATTAAAAAAAAAATAATGATAATTTCAAATACGAAATAATAATTGATAATTTTGATAAACCAACCTCCAAATCATCCCGTGTAACATGTGTTCGTTCAAGTATGGATATAATTCGATTAACTTCATTGATATCTTTAACCTGTTTTTTGTTCAATAATAATAATAATAACCGAAATTCAATTAGATTCGTATTCGATTTACAATTATCATTTAGTATTTGACCCGTTTAAAAAGATTTTAAAAAAATTACATCACAAAAAGACAAAATTTAGATTTTTTTTTCAATTAAATTTTTATTCATTTTTTTCGGTTTGAAATTTTTACAGCATTCAACATCAATCAATCGACTAATACATTCATACAAAAAAAATAAGACTTTTTTAAACATCTCTTAAACCGCACAAACACACAAAAAAATACTCAAATTCTTAATCAAGCAATCAATCAAGAATATTGAATAATGGGTCAATATTTTTTTTTTCATTTAAATACATACATTTGATTGTTCGTCGAGAGCTTGTACCAATCTATCCTTAAGTTCGATTATTTGTGAATTTTGTTGCTGCATCGAGAGCGCGAACAAATTTTTTTTTTAAAGTTTGATTGATTGATTGAATGACAATATCCCCCCCAAAGGATGATGACAATCCAAATCAGTTTTTCGTTTGTTTGGTTTTTTTTTCAATTTTTGGTTTGCAGATGATGTGATGAGAGCTGAACAACAACCGGAAGACAAAAATTAATAAATTCTGAAAAAATTTTTTTTCAAAGAAATTTGCTGCCGGATCGCATGAAGAAAAGTCAATCAATGTCGTTATCGTTCGTTTCGGTTAAAATTCTTCAAATACTGTAAATTGTTGGCCATATTACAGCACACACATAAACAGTCTTGAGTTGAGTTTTTGTTGTTGTTGGTGGTGGTATTATATTCTTGAATGAAATTTAATGATTGATTAAAAAACAATTACCACCGCAAAACGATTGGATTAAAACTAATAGAAAATTTTACAACACAAAATTAGCACTGAATTAAGATTTTTGTAAAAAAAATACAAAATTTCGCTGGTCACTTAGCAAAGAAACAAAAAAATTCCTGTGATAAAATTTTCATTCAAATTCTTGTTTTTTTTTTTTTTTTTTTTAAAACTGGAATTAGGAATCGCGCAGCGACATCTTGTTTTCGAATTCATAATTTTTTTTCTA